TCGGGAAGGTGAAATGCCGGAAACATCTGGTGCATCCCAGGTACACCTCCGGCTCAGCATGGAAGTCCTGCTCCGCCAGCTCCGAAATCTTGAGCGGTCCCGGCCTCCAGCCGCACCCCACTGTGACTCCATCTGTGTCCAGTAGGTGCATGCTGTAAGCTTTGGTGGGACCCTTTCGGGCCGTGGTGGCTACCACCGTCAGTGGACCCCGAGGCGGGGGCACCTCATCCGCAGCCATCTTGGTGATGGCCGGCTTGTTGGCGGGGATCACATCCCAGCTGGCATTCGAGGGCGGTGTGTCCGGGACTTCCTTGAACAAGGCCTTCGGTGAGGCCGGGCACTCCACCTTGTCCTCCCAGTCCTCATGTCCGAGGTCGACTCGGACCGCCCTTCCTGCCTCGAGTTGCATGGACGGGAGCTTCTGGAGGACCTGGTCCCAGATGGAGCACACCACGTGTCGCTTCTCCCGGGTGTAGACATCCGCCGTGGACTCCTTGAACCAGTTTCCCAGGTACTGGCGCTGGTCCCTCGGTATGTGCGCCTGGAATGCCAAATCCGGCATGAAGACCCGGAAGGAGTACCATGAGAGTTCAGCCACGTCCTTGACTGGCGCGCCCTGCTTCCCCAAGGCGTCTTTGAGCCACCTCAGGGACCTGTCTGGGGTTCCTGGGCGGGGGATGAAGCCCGTCCTGTCCTTGTTGATCGTGGGGATCAGGTAGTCCATCTCGCGGAACTCCTCCGAGGCCCTGAATCTCTTCCACCACCGCTCCAAGGGGATCCACCATCTGGCCCCCGAGAAGGAGAACAATGGGGCGATGAGCGGGACCGGGTTCCGTTTGATGGCCACTGCCGACGTGGTCTTCGTTTGCCAGGCCAGCAGCTCCAGGGTGTTGCTCGTGGACTTGACCGTCTGCGGCGAGGTGTGCTGCACGTCGTTGAAGCGCGCACTGCAGGCCAGGTTGAACCTGGCCATCGCCATGATGTACCTGTCCACTGCTTTGGTCAGCTCCGGGACCCGGTTCTCCGGCGGGGCCCCTTCTGCCCCTTGTTCCAGGGCCCAAACAATTGCCCGGGTCGGAACCACCGCCTTGCGCTGTGGCTTGACCTGGGTGTCCACCAGCGTCTCCTGGATGGCTTTCCGCTTCTCCAGGAGTTGTTTGTGTTCGTCAACGTTGAGCATGCCGAGTTTAATGGAGAGCCACTTTAAAGTGCCCCACCACTTCTGGAGCTTCGCCGGGGTGACCTCCAACGTGACCGCCTGGTTCATGAGGTGCCGGACGTCGCCGGCCGTCCAGGGGAGGTTCTGGAAGCCGATCTTGCGCATGCCCTCATAGGCCAAGCAGTGTGCCCGGATGGTACGGAACCGGGCATCACCAAAGAGGTGGCCAAACTCCTCCAGCTCCCTGGCCCCCATCACCTGGTGCATGTAGGGGATCTGGTGCCGGAAGGGGATGAAGTATCCCAGGAGGCGTTCCAACCACCTGGCCCTCAAGTGTTGTTCCAACGCTCTCTGAGATGTCGGCAATTGGGTTTTGATCTTCCCTGGTTTCCAATGCCGCCACTTGTTGGCCACTGCCAGGACATCCGGGGCCTCAATCGATCCGGAAAGGATCCACTCTTCGCGGTCCCGGATGGCCTGTTCCATTTCCAGTGGAGAATAGGTGTGCGATTGCCTGGCGCCTGCCGCACGAAACAGAAGTTGTTGCAGGGTCTTAGTAGCGAGCTCCAAATCCGCCTCCTCCAGCGGTTGTGGTTGGGAGCCGAGTATCCTCGCGAGGATCAAGTTGTAGGTGTCCGAGGCCACCAGGACGTGGTTGCCGTCAGGTGCCAGCCCCACGATCCGTGTCCACGGCCGCGGGTCAAAGACCACCGCATCCGGGTTGGCGACCTTGTCCTTTTTGACCCATTCCAGGCAGCACGCCACGAGGATTTCCCCGTCCGACTGCACTGGTGCAAATCCAAGGTCATGCAAAATCAACTGGAGCGCGGTTGGCGCCCCTAGGAAGGTCGTCCCAAACGGGGAAGGGAGGCGGGGCCTCCACATCATCATGATCCACTCGAGCCGGGGGCCTAGTCCCTAGGTGCAAACCCCAACCAAACAACAGGGGGCCCCCCAAAACCCCGGAAAGTCAACCCCGAAACGGAGGAAACGGGGGAAAAAGGGGGACCCAGGGAGCCGCCCCGAAAAGGGAAAACCAAACAAGAGAGGGGAACCAAGGCGCACCCCGGATCAGCCCAAGCCGCGCCAATTTTCCTCGCCTGGTGCAAGTCTGGGCCTGCGCTGTTCCCTGGGGGGGGATATCAGCGCCTTCGGCAGCTGTCCCCCCCCCGGGGTGCGCTGCGCATCCGTTCCGGATGGCCGCGGTCCTGGATGGTGTGCCGGAAGATGGCGTTGTCCCGCATCATCACGCGGCCCCCTTCGCGATGTCATCGATGCGCTTGAGCGCAGCAGCCTCCGGATTCCGCAGAATCAGCTCCCAGATGGCATTGGAGACGTGGCCTGTCTGGGTGGTCTGGCTGAATCTGAACCTGGGCACCTTCTGGTCCACGATGGAGACGTCCCGCAACGGGGCCGAGGGCTCCACCCGGCGGTAGTACTCCAGCCGCTCCTTCACCCAGCGGTTGTAGAGGCCCTCCGGCGGCTCGTCCAACACCAGCTGCAAGATGGCCTTGCCGGCCCGGATCTGGAGGAGGCGGGTGCCCCCTCCCCCGGCACGCCAGTACCCCTTACAATACTTGCACATGTAGCCCCCCCGGGTCTCCCCTTTTGTCTTCGGGATGAGTTCCCACGGGGTGACGGAGCTCAGGACCAGGCCACACTCCATGTGCGCCCAGAAGACATGCTTCATCTCCACCGGATAGTTCTTCTTCCGGTAGTCCTTACCCACCACGCCGTGGACGTTGTCCGCCATGATGGGGGGGTAAACGATCCCCTCATCGCCCTCGCCTCCCCTGGGGCGGATGTCAGGGCCATCGGCACCTGTCCGGCACCCAGGGGCGGAGGGGTCCAGGCCCATCAGCTTGATCATGTCGTTGGTGTAGCCGAGCTTGCGGTAGATGGAGGGGGCCACTGAGTCGGGGACTGCGCCGACCCACCACTGCTTCGTGTTGCAGCGCCAGTTGACCTTCACCTCCGCCAGGGCCCCCGGGCCTCCAATGCGGTCCATGAGGGCCTTGTACACCTCTGGGAACTGCTGGAGGCTCTCCACCGGGACCGAGATGCGCTCGTCGCATACCGCCCGCAGGATCATCTGCTCCTTGGAGTCCGCCACGTCCTGGACCGGGAGCTGCATCACCTCCGCCGGGGTGTCCGTGAGGAAGGCCCGGGCCGCGAGGACCTTGCCCATGGCCCGGTAGACCAATCGCCACTCCGGTCCTGTCTGCGGAAACGGAAGGCCCTCCTCCTTCAGGAAGCACCGCGGTCTCCCAGCCCTCCAGGCGGGTCTGATTATCTTGGCGATGTAGAAGGCCTCCACAACGCGCTCCAGGCCCCCCTGCTTGAGTTGGGGGCCCTCAAAGCCTCGCAGGAGCCGCTGGACGTCCTTGGCCTGCAGTCGGCGGAGCCTAGTGGCCGTGGTCGCATCGAAGCAAGGGAAGTCGCCCGCCATCTGGTCGTCGCTGAACTGGTAGAGGCCCTCCGAGACCTTGAGGGCCTTGGTGAACACGCTCCCCCCCGGCGGGGGGGCTGCGGGGTTCTCATCCTCCTCCGAGGACGCCTGCTCCTTGACCTTCGCCATCAGCTCCCGGCGCCTCTGCCACTTGGCGTCTGCCCGGGCATCCAGGCGGGCCTCCTCCAAGCGGGCTGCAGCCGAGGGGAACCTGGGCATCGGCAGCTCCTTCTCGTCCTTCGCCAGGAGCTCCTCCATGGGCACGTCCTCCTCCGGCGGGTTCAGGAGCTCCAGGAACGCCCCTGGGGGGCGTGTCAGGGCCTTCGGCACCTGCGCCACCCCAGGGGCTGCATCTTCCATCGGCTCATCCTCTGCCTTGCGCTTGGCCGGGATAAGGGGGGCCTGCTCCAGCTCATCTGCGCTGGAGAAGAAACGCTCGTCAGGTGCCTGAGGGACCTCAGCAGCCAAAACGGTCCATCCTTCTTCCTCCCTCTTCACGAGGTTCGCCAGGTACTTTGCCATGGAGGCCTTTGCCTTAGCCTTGGCCTCTGCTGCCGCGGCACCAGCGTAGGCGGGGGCGTACATGGCTTTGAGAGTAGGGGAAAGAAAGATTTCAAATCACAAGACAAAGGATCAAAAGGTCCACTTGAGCCAAAATGGTGGCCCAAGTGGATACTTATTAAGAGTCAAGACAAGCGACCACCTACGGTTAACGCTTTAGCCCAGCCAAATGTAGGGTATCTTCAAAACAGGTTACCAGCTGAACATTGCATAGAAACCAACCAACATATCCAACAATGATAGCAAGCACGGAAACGGACAAATACCAGCTCGACATGCTGAGGTCTTCAGAACAGGCACACTGACTAGGAAACCAAACATGTCACATTGAAATGCGCCACCCCATGGAACCCGCAAACCAGTGTCACACTCCTCTTGGTGGAGAGGAGCCTCTGCCTAAAGCCGAGAGACTCTTGCAGTTGGGCTCTTTGGTGCCCATCCATGCAAGGTCTGGTGCTGTCTTCTCGCACAGCTCTTGGGACACGCGGCAAATTGAGCGCTCGGTCCGAAAGGGCTTGACTTCTTTGGCGACATCTCTTATGGGCAGGTGCTGCCAGCAACAAATCAGGATGAAGTCGCTATTTTCAACGCACTCCCCTCTTTTGCTCACAACATTTGAACGCTATGTTCAGGTCGAATCTCAGGTACAGGTCATGTTTACCAAAGCAAGTGTGTAAGGCAGAAAAGGTATAATTTCTACGTACGCACGTAAACACTCATGTGCAAATGCATACATTATAAAAGCTCCATACGTGCAGCAACCACCTCATCTGAGCATTCCGGTCACACCTTGTGACCGGGGACCCCCAGCTCCCCGCTTTCCCCAGTCTCCTTCATCGCAGCCCGGGTCAAGCGCTCCTGCTCATCTTCAGGGCCCAGGTCCTCGTTGCAATCGAAAGGCTCTGCTTCCGGTATCGCCACTTCGCTGGTCAAAGGGGGAACTCACTAAGAACCAAATCACATGGGGGAAAAAAGAAACCTCGCGCAGGCAACCTGTTGCTTCTCCTCCAATTCGGCTTGGTTCTCTATGGCTTGACTGGGATGGGAGGGTCAGTCCCTTCCTCCACTCGCGGCAAGCATGTCGAATTACTTTACTCCAGGTGAGGTTTGATCATCATCTGACTAGCAAACGTACAGCTCGCAAATACAAAACAAGCAATCCCAAGTAAAGGACCTCTTCATCTCCCGGCCGGAAACGGCTGCCTCTGTTGTGCCTCTGTTGACCGCCATTCACAATGACTGACATGGGTCTGGGAGTCTGGGCCGAAAATAGGGTAACCTCAAATCCGGAACCCTGGTACAGCCCTTCAGGGAGACTCCGCACATCCTGTTCCTGGAGCCTTACCAGTTGATGCAGTTTCTCAACCGCCGAAGCCGGCGACACTTGCGCACCAGCTCCGCCACCGTAGCCACCTGTGTTCCTCCTGAAGACAACCACTGTGCGAAAGTGCCACCTCCAAAAGGTGGCAACGGCCTCGGGCATGAAGCACCCCCCTGGCACATTTCCTTCCCCGGCTCGGGGATTGGGAAGCGGCGAGAACCTGCTCAAAACCAAAAGCGCCCAAGTCTCAAACGACCGGCTGAACGCGCCACGCACTCGTAAGAACCAACCACTGCCACGCCTGCGCGCCTGGGAGCAGCTTGGCCAGCCACGCCTGGTGGTCCGGCTCAAGAGTCCAGTGCCAGGTCCCGATTGGACTAGAGGCATGTCCTGGTGTCCGCCGCCCCGAAGAATCAGCTCCTTGCAAGGGTGTCCATCACATTGCCGGAAAAATCCCGAAGCTGACTCCAGAAAAACCCGGACTGGCCAGGGCTGAAACCTTCCTTCCCCGCCAACCGAAGCCCACGGAGTCCGCGGCAAGTGAGTCCGCCGCACAGCGACCGAGGCCCAGGCTTCCGCCCGCGAGTCAGGGCACCAACCGTCGGAACCTGCAATCTATGCCCTGCCGATGGACAACAGAAAAGCCCATACAAGCGGCAACCATGGGTAGCGCAACGAGGGGCGCGCCAAGCCGGTTGCCACCAGCGCCTGAGGCAGTTCCACAAAGCTGTCAGTGGAAGACGCCCCTTCGGGCATGAGAGGGCAGTGCATGGCATGCTGGATATTCTCCACCTGCCGACATGCGCGGGGACTCAAGACCGCCCCCAGGATCCGAGGCAGCAGCCCCACGCAACACCCCTCCAACCGCAGTGGACCCAGGGATGGGCAGTCTTGCCCCCAGCTGAGATCGAGATACACTTCCGCAGATTCACATGAAACACCAAGAACAGCCCATGGTTCGTTGAATCTCCCTTTGGGGAACCCTTTTTGGGTTCCGTGGAAATTTGCATTTTGAGAATTTTGCGTGTCAGCCGGGACGTCTGTAGCATCCAGCTCCCCCCTCCTGATGCAGGACGCTCATGCCATCAGAGATGGCTGGCGCGGCCTGCCAAGTCATGAGGGAAGCACACATGGCAATTTCAGATGTGAGATTAACTGGGGACTTGTTGGATATCACTTGCCGGGGGGATTGAATTCCACCAACCCCCATGGAAACTTATTGCAATTTCCCCAGTCAAACCTCGATCTGGGCCTGATTTTACGTGGAGATGAGAAGAATGCAAGAGGTAAGACCCCGATGACGAGGAAACCGTCTGAATGGGAAAACCGCGACGTGACTCTTCACACATCTCTTCGCCATCACATAGAAAATAATGAATGATGATGGCTCTTCACTCTCCTCTTCCCATCCCTTCGTGCCTCCCAGAGAAGACTGAGAGGCGCGATGGATTCTAGAGTCACATCACTTTCAGACGTGTGTTGAACCTTTGTTTCGGTTCAAGCGGCACAAGAACACATTAGGAAACAACAAATTGTATGTGTCCACCGCAAACGGACATATTGGCCGATTTCTTGCATTTCCTGCCAACAAGCAACTGCAGGGTCACGGCAGAAAAGGACTGCGAAAGCCTGCATGAAGCATTTCAACCTGAGGCTTGTCTCACTTCCCTGGTGAATCGGCCAAAACAAGTCTGAGCTGTTTGCTGACCACTAGAATGGTCCAAACCCAAAAAGTATAAAGTCCAACTCAAGGTGTCGCTTTACCACTAAAATGGTCCAAACCCAAAACGTTGTTTACCACTAAAATGGTCCAAACCCAAAACGTGACTCAAGTCAAGTCCAACTCAAGAGGTCAAGGTGTCTCAACCCAGGCCCCATCCCATGCCAAACTAGGAGCACATGTAGCCATCGACTGCCAGCCCTGAGGTACCCCTAGAACACCAGTCCTTCTCTATTTGGTTCCCTGGTTTGACACATGCCTCACAAAGCTGAACTTATCGAATCACAGCAGGGGTTAGGCTGGATGGTGGCTGTGGTCCTACCAACATTCAGTACTTGAGATTGAGGCAAGCGCTGCAATCGTTAGCAAGCTCCTTGGTTGTGATCATGCAGAAGTGCCATCCTCATTGGAAATCAAGAACTCAATGACCACGGGCCACAATCGACAGAACGTCAATTGGCTTTGCTGAGGCCTTGCCAGGCAGTCTGCAAAACATGTCCACAGACCGACAAGAAGGTGCCCAAAAGAAGGACCAGGGCGATGGAAGCAATTATTGGTGCATTTATATCATGATTCCATTTCCGCCCCTTACATTTGCCGTGGAAGGTCGCTCGGCTCACTATGTGGCAGGAATTTTGGTTCGTTGCCAAAATCTCACAAGGAGGCGGGGTATTGTGCTTTGAGCAATGAAGCCTAAAGGAAACCAAAGGAAAACAACCGCTTGAGCACATCCGGCCACGAAGCAAACTGAACGCACAGCAGCGGGTGTCATCCCCATCCTGGTCTTCAAAACCATATCCCCGACCAAAGTGAAGCATCCCTATGTTTTTGTCACTCAAAGGGATTCTTGGTAGCACAAAGACTTGCCAGAAATCTCCTTTTTGCACGAGATTGCGAGGTTCCCCTCAAACAGGCATAGAACCATGGCTCCCCCCTGCGCCGTGCAAACCCCTTGCAGAAACTACCTGAGTCATGTGATGTTCAAGCTGGCGGGCCTCTTCCTTCCGGGATCCTTCTTTCCGGGATTGAAATCACACGAAAAATGGCAGAGAAAAAATGCCAGTTGTTGAAAGAACGATGGCCCAAATTTCTTCATTTGTCATCAACCCCCAAAGAAGTGACACAGAAAACCCGCAGACCCCCTCTCAACCATCCTCGGAAGAGAGGCTGGGCTGCAGCCTGCGGCCGCAGGCTGAAATTGAAAGACGGCTGGGTTGACACCTCCTCTGGTTTTTGGGTTTAACCCCTTAGAGTGGCAGGTGTCCTGTTATATTTTCCTATCACGCATCCAAAAGAAGGTCCTAAAATTTCAGGACGTCAGGACGCTGAAAGTTCTCCTTTGAAAGGATCGAACATTGCAGCGGCCATTTGCAGGGTTGTGGGAAGGAGTTGGTTCCCACTGCCAAGGGAATCCTCTCAAGCCCTTCCAAAGTGGGCAGCTCCGATGACCCTGGTACTAAAACAGTGGTAAACCACATCAGCAAGCCCTCCGGTGATTGACCTTATTCTCGGGGGGTTCTTTTCAGTGCGGGCTTTCGGTGTCCTTGAATCTTAGGCCTCTAGTACTGACTCCCAAGGGGGGTTAATGTTGGGACGTGCAGTTTCGCTTCCCAACCCAAAAGGCAGCGAACCGACCCTGTGCCACACCGGCCGATTCAGCCAAATGCACTGGGGGTTAATTGTATACCGAGCGGGTAGCTGCTGCATAATATGCGGGCGCGCGGTCTGAACCCAGTTTTCCTGGGACCAGCCATGTATCCGTAGTTAGGGCATCAGCAACTGGATAGTGCAAAGCGATCGGCTGCACGGCAAAGTGTTTGCTCCACAGTAAGCACTATTTTCCCCAGTAGCTGAAAGCTTTGGGGTCTCTGCCTAGGCTCTGCGGTGGTTTAGGCCGGCTTTCAGGGAGGGTTCCAGAAGGGGTCCGAGGGAATCTGGGGGATGCCTATTATTTTCTCCAGGACAATTATCCAGAAAATGGCCCTATCTGCCCTTGAGTGAAGGGTATACATTCTGGACATCCTGGAAAGCAAGCAGTTTGGCCATGGCCCCAAAAAGACCAGGGGTTCCCTCCCTCCCAGAATCCAGCCCGTTGGGTTACTGAAAGCTATTGGGGTTCTAACTTCTAATAAAGAGGGGAAAGTGATTTGCGAGATTGACGGGCTGGTGCCAGGGGCGTGCAGCTTCGGGTACTGGTGTAGGTGCTGGTTTGGGGTCACGGCGCGGGCGCACTTTGCCGGTGTATTCTTCCTCGTGTTTTCACCCGCGAGCCCCTGGGCCCCGCGCATAGCGCCTTTGCTGTCCCCGAAGGCCGGGCTGTCCGTGGCAAGGGCCGCGTCCTGAAGGAACCCGAAGATGAATCCCACCCAGTCGCAGAAACGACTCGGCCGAAAAAAGGCCGGTGGAAGCGTTGAGGTTCGGCGGATCCGGCCCTTTGCCCTGGTGCCCGTTTTTAGAGAAAGTGATTTGGGTCCCTCTTAAAGAAACACTGCTGGGAGGAGTCCTTTTCGCGAAGGTTGTGCGGACAAAATGAGTTGGAACGCCCAAGCAAGGAGTTGCAGAATTCAGCGCCTTTTTGTCTGGCAAGGAGGGCTCAGGTGCCGATGCAGCTCCAGTTGCATTTTCGCTTTCAGCCCCAAGATTGCCAGGGGGAGGGGAATATGGGAACCCTACCAAACATATCCAGGACTTGCTGGTTTGCTCTTGTTCGTTCACGTGCATATGGGCATGAAGCTCACTGGGAAGATGGTTGACTCGCCCTCGGAACTTTGAGACCCGCTCTTCTCAAGTGTCGAAAGGCACGCGGTCCGACGTTGAAAAGTACACCTCGCGCAAGAGAATGAGTGCCCTTACGTCCCAGAGGGCCCATGGCCTCCTTTACCTGCTGAAGTGGGCACATCATACTGGCAACATGATGGCAACTCCACAGGGCTACAGCAAGCCGCCTACTGTTTCGCATTCTCTTCGAAGGGGGAGGCGAAGTTTGCTTCAAGAGGGTGCCAACAGGTACGCTGCGGCGTGTGTTCCTCTTGCCTTCAAGCTACCAGCACCTTCATTTCCTTCACCCGAACTGCCCGCCCCATCCTCCGCCGGGACCCAAAAGCTCTCCCAGTACATCCAGGAGTCTCCACCCACCTCCTGGCACGCTGGCAAACCAATGGCTTCGTGTGACCAGTGGCACACAAAGTAGTTGGGCCCTTTGCCAGCCTAGGGGACTTGTTGCCTAGTCGCGGTTTCAGGTTTTGGACCAAGCCCAGGTGGACTTGATAGCTGATTCCTTCTTGCCTCCCTGCAACTGAAGGACCCAATTCTTGGTCTGCAAGCTTACTCAGCTCGGCAAGCAACACGGAGAAGCGCTTGAAGATCGGTAAAATATCCGGGGTGTCAGCAACCGCAACACATAATCCTACCAGAATGGAGACCCAACGCATCACCTGAGAATCTGACTGCGCGCAACGCAAAACCAACCGCAGCCCGGCTGCAGCCTCCCTGAGTCGACCCTTGGGGCCTTCAAGCTCTGTGGAAGCTGAGGTACCCGAAGTTCCAAGGGCTACCCCTCCCCGATGCGTCTGTGTTGCAGACGCATCAAACTGCTCCGCTCTAACCAAGCAAAAATCGGGCACATCTGCCGAGCCCAAAGGGAGATGGGCGGTGTGTGACCGGTGTCTGCAGAGTGCATCCCTGCATCCGCCAAAACTGAGCCGAGAAAAACGCGTCACTGAACACAGGTTCACGCCCTTGACATGGGCTGCTAAACTGTTGGCATGTTTATTTTGAAAACACTTCATGTCTGAAAATCCCACGAGACTTGCTGTAAAGTTTACACGTGTAGCACGCAAGAGAATGCAGTGCTTTGACGCGTTTTCGTGTTCGTCAATTCTTGGGAAGTGGCCTTGTGCTTTCTCCTTTGGATGTTGTTCGTGGCCTTGTTGCCATGGTCCGTGCCTTAATCGTAAGCAAAACTCATGCATCAGCAAACGGATGTGTGAGCATGGCCCAAAGAAGACACATGGGGGCTCTGAACATATGGCCCCTCTGTGAAGAAATGCCCATAGAGTTCCATCGAGAATGCTTCGAACATGTGACACGACCCCCCCATCCAAAAAACCCATGAATCACCTCAACCCCCCCCCCCAAAAAAAAAAAAAAACGCCGCCCAAAAAGAAAAACATAATCACCTCAAAACATTCGCCGGCTGCGCCCAGTACCGGTTCGGGTCCCGCTCGTCCAATTTCTCCCATCCTGCCACGAGATAAAGAAGCATCCGCCGTGCGAGGAGCCGCAAGAACCAGTCTCCGAACATGGGACTTGACAAGCGCCAAAAACAACATGCAACTGCTCCCCGGCAAGTCAACATGCATCCCATGTTAAGGATCTCTTAAAAGGAAGGGCAAACACAAACAAGGGTTTCTTGAGGGTTCAGACAGTGTCATGTCACGAAGGAATTCTTTGACAGCTGGCAAATGCAATGTTCGTGTCGGAAGCACTTCCAAGCCCTTCGCAACCCCGGTCGATGGAAACGATTTTACGAAAACCATCCAGGGATCCTTCATGCCGAAACTCCAACCCTAAATCCTAGGGCACATTCCAAGCAGAAGCGTTTCTCGACCGGGCGCCAGGCTCCAAACCGCCGCAGTGAGCTGCTCCTGAGACGTGGCAGTCCCCGGGAACCGGCTGAAACAAGCCCCCCCCGTTTACACAACCTCCTTTGGGCTTCCCATTGAAATCATTGAACGGGAAGGGGAACTCCTTGAATTGGGCAAGGTTCACTATGGAATTAGGTTGCGCCCCTCATGTTCTGATGGTGTTTTGGCGAGAGTGCCCTAGATCATCCTCATATGCCGCTCTTATCCCCCCTGCCACAAGGAGCGGGGTGGGGGGGCTCCCAGGTGCATTCCCAAGGACCAACGGTTTCCTTGTCATGGATCGCCAGTTGCGATCTCTTTTTGTCCATCCACTTTACCCCAAAAACCAGGAACAGTGCTGAAAAAAGCAGCAACTTGGCTATCTAGAGTGTTCATGCACTCAAACAAGGCATGACCTCAGACAAACACTTTGGGTCATGCACTGGCTGTCTTCTTCAGTACCAACCGGGACCTGCGTGACCTGTTGGTGACATTGTCCATGCGTGCATCAAGCAATACTCAGGCCTGGGGCCGTGAAAACAACTCCACCAGATTGACTGGCCAGCTAAATCCGTGCTTTCTTGTCAGTGGCTCCTGCAATGCTAACCGCGATTTATCTGGAGGACCATATCTCTGCAGTTCCCAGATCCCCTACTAAAAGTCCAACTTGTCGTGGTTTAGTGACACCTGCAACCCGAAAAAGCCAAAGAACCCAAAAAAGATGGCTGGGAACCACCAAGACAGGATTCGCATTTTTGTGGGGGATTAGCTCATTGGGGAGATTGTTTTAATTGGTCTGGTTTGCAGCACGATTTCCCTTGGGCAAGGCGAAACCTGGCCTCTCATCGGTGGAATCCGGTCGGCCGAGTCGGCTGAGCCAGCGAGCCTTGTCAGAGCACTTTGTCAGGCGGATGCTCGCGCCCCGCAAAAGGTCCTCAGCTCGAGGCTTGCAGGGGATGTCCCGCACTCTTGCGCCAAGCAAAATGGAGGAAAGTGGAGGGCCCCTTCGCGCCGCTGGCCGGTCTCCTGACTGCCATGTTTGCGTCCTTGACAAAAGTCTGTACACAAAAACACCTCTTCACTCCCTGTGTACGGGAGAATCAAGGACTGCCATGATGCTCTCAACTCTGCTCTGGCATTTCCCAAATTATGGCTGAACAAAGTCCCAAATGCGACAAGCGCCAAGCGCCCACAGTAAGAAGCGCCAGTGCTCCGTCTTCGCACTGGATTCCCTTCCCTGTCCGCACAAGCCCTGTCCGCACAAGCACACAAAGGCAGGGAAGAGGAGCGTCAGCCTTCTTGGCACAGGAGAAATCGCCGTTCCGTGATACCCAAAAAAGCCAAGGTCTACCGTATCACTTTTGAGCAGCTTTCATTGGCACCACAGAAATCGGCCCAAACCCACACTTGTCCACAACAATCGCTACTCTTGTTGTGGGCGTTCTAGCATCGCATGAGTCCGGGGCAATGCTACGTGTTTCCCCAAATGGACATGGGTTGCCCTGCCCAAACCGCAACACTAAACCACCAACACCCGATATTTCTTAGTTCCCACGAGCAAGGGCCGGGACCCCCGGCGAGGTCGCTGCCCACGCCTGCCGTTTGCCGCGCGGCAGCTTCCGCGACTGTTGGCCTATTCAGCCTGTGGCTCTGTGGCTCTGTGTGTGGGGCGATTCAATTGACACAGGCATGTCCGCTGAATATGTCGAGACTTTTCTCGAACTGTGCAACATGGACTAAGGCTACGACTGCAAGCACTACGGGAAGTGCTGAGTCACTTTGCTGACTCAGAGCCACTGGGACGACCACGGCAAGTTTCGGACCACTGTTGGGAAGCTCTTGTGGTTTTCACTGATTAGGCACTCTTGACTCGGACTGTGATGGATGCTGCACTCTGAAAAGCACCAGTGCACCTGCCATCAGGCTGATGGAAGCAGCTATGTGATGTGTTGCGCACGCAAGAAACTGCACTGTCAGCTGCCCAGGCAGAACTGATGGAAAAGGGCGCCTCCAAAGCACTGTACATCAAGAATCTGCTCAAGCAGACATCTGCAAACACTGCAAACATGCACACTGACAGCACTTCATGCAGAAGCATGGCAATGCAGTTTGGCGCTGGCAAGAAAACCAAACACATGGAACTGCGTTTTTCTGGATATGCAGTGTTTAGTCCAAAAGGGCGTAATGAAAACATATGAGGTCCCCACTGACATTAGTTGCGCCGATTTGATGACCAAATGTTTGGAGCCCGAACTGTTAAACATGACATGATGGTTTCCTAAATACTGTTTCTATTCACATGTCCCTCTCATCTGCACACTGATAAACCAGTCCTTTTTTGAGTTTGGCTGTTATGAGCATGACCTCAACTGTTGCACATTGAATTGTTGCAGCGAGGAAGGACAGGCGCTGTAAATCATTCTCTGTCAGCTGCAGATTGTCCGAGAATGGCAGCTTCTGAATCGTAAACTGGTAAACTGTGTATATATGGCTTGCCGTGACCACCGCAGTCCATTTCACTGAAGGCGCTCTGTTTTGCTCGATTTGACTGCTGTCCCCAGGATGGCACTAACATTTCCGGCTGCACTATACGACACCCAAATCACGCGTGTACTGCAGCATGAACCGCCTGGAAAGAGGTGATGCGGGCTGAGGATGTGAAGCAGAAGCTGCGGAACTTCACTGTGAGCAAGTTGAATCACTCGATCAGCACTGGCAATCGGGCGACTGATGAGTCTACCGCCTGCGACTTGGGATGCGTTCTCCAAAAAGATCCGCCAACCAAGAGCCAACCAATTCTGAGCATACTTCAACCATCCAAACTCATGCTCACTTGGGTCTCTCTTCTTTTGGGGCAATCCCTTTTTTGAGAAAATAAAAGGAAACCAACCATGTCTGGGCCTCTTAGAAAGAAAAATGACCATGAGACAGACCCATCTCTGCCCTCGATTCGGGGTTCCGCGCCTGTCTGCGCAGAGGCCTGAGGGTGCCGGGGCCATTTTTGTTTGGGTGGCTATGGTGGGTGGGTCCTGGGCAAAACATCCCAGTCTTTTCTTGGTTGCTGTTGACCCCCCTGCAAAAAGTGAACAACTTTTTGGGGGTTTAGTGGAAAACCCCTTGATTTCCCAAAAAGTTAAGGTCTAAAGATCTAACCCAATAGCAGTCAAGTTTTGGTCATCAGACGAAGAACAACCTCTACCCCACATGGGTCGGACAGGTGCTTAAGAACTACTCGAGGACAAACCAGGAGCCCTACAGCAGGGTTGGGTTGCTCTGATTCGTAGGACTTCGTCCAGGTGCTTTTCTTGGCTTCTCTTTGAGAGGAGGTTGTGGCGTATATAGGAAAATCAAAGAAAATCCGAGAGGAACCTTGGGTGAGGTCGCAGACCACACCCTTTGCTCATCTCCGATTCTTATCCAGCATGTGGTCCACTTGTTCTCTTTCCATTGCTCGTCAGGTCCATTCCAGAGTATCCAGCACAGTTGCGCGAAGGGACCCCTCATACCCACGGCACACCCTTTTGGACGACATGTTCACAAAGACACTATAGCCAGTAACCTCAATCGAAAAATCACACTCATGTTGCATGTTTCAAAATTGGGAGACTCATTCCCTTTGATGATACCCTCGACAAAACTCGCAGGCCCAGAAATACACATGTATTCTCGCGCCAATTAGCTAAACCATCTTTGGCAAACTCGAGCTGTGCTTTTTTGGCTTTCTCGGGGCTGGAGGATGTGAAGCCGGGGGTCTGGACAAATTGAACAATGCTCAACCGCTTTCAGCTTGGCAGCGATCAAAGGGGACAGTTCCTTTTGGGAGCTAGCCACTTGGGCTATGTTGCCATGCGCTTGTGCATGATCTGCTGCCAAGGTTTTCCAACCTCACCTCACAACCCCGTGGTCATTTAGAACCCATAGACCCACCCACCCACCCATTTTTCTCGACACCGCCCCATCTAGTCGTGCGCTGCACGCCTGGTACTCATCCGCCTTCGCCTGCACGTCGGCCACACGGCGCCAAATCACCTCCGCTTTGAAGGCAGGGAGTTGGCTCCGTGTTGGGCTGTTTATCTCAGAAATACTTGTTGATTGAGTTTATCTGTATAGTAGCGATTTAGTAGTTCTTGAACATCTTCTACTTTTTTAATGCACCCCCCTTGTTTTCAACCATGGTTCTTCATCCGCCCCCTTCCTTCTGGGTTTTTGGGTGGGTGGACAGCAGGATCTCCGGAAAGAATGGCGGAGTTGCCACTAGGAAAGTGTGTCTTCCGCGGTCATCGGTTGCGACCCTGGGCCCTCAAGCTATCCTTCAGTGATATCGGCCCAAAATGAAGGTACCCCCTGGTTTGGGCCATTTTGGGCGTCCAGGTGTACCCTCAGACATGAGCGAATCAGCGAGTCCCCTGGCTCGTGTTGGCTGTTTTCAAATTTCGAGTCCCAGTAAAAATATTGAGGTTGCAGGTTTGCCCAGGAAACATGAAAAATGCAATTTCCTTCCGGTGCGGGTCCCCGCGCCAGGTGCTCGGCGCCCAGCCGCGGCCCCACGAAGGCGAAGAAGCCTCGACTTTTCAACCCTGGCCTTTTGGCTTCAAGAGACGGAGCTTCGGATCCCCGGTGGCTCCCAAAAAAGCCGTGCTTTGGCTTCAAGCAAAAAAAAGACAAGACAAGGACCGAAAAAAGAAACAAATAAAGGAAAAAAAAAGGGAAAAAAGGCGTGGTGTTGGTTTCGAGCAAAAAAACAACGTAAGCTATGAGCAAGATTTGAGAGATGCTGAGATGCCCCTAAAAGTCTGCACTTTTAGGGATTCGGGGGAAGGTTGGGGAGGTGCAATGGGATCCCAACAACGATACCAGAAGGCCAAGCAGAGTTGCCCTATCACCAAAGAGGCAAACAACAGTTGGACTGCCCTGGTGTTCCCGTTATTGGCTAAGCGCTGGTCTCAAAAAACAGGCGAACGGGAAAGAAAACTCTCTCTCAAAAAAAAAACACGCGAAAGCAGCCACTGGTACCGAAATCTCCGCTTGGGCCCTGGGGCAAGCCTCACATGGAGCTGTTTCAGAACCCAGCCCGGGACCAAACGCGCGCAGATCCGATTGGCTTCAAATAGCTGAAAGATCCAATTTGAAGCCCCCCAACTTGGAGCCCCCCAACTTGCAGCTGAAACTTCTTTGTGCATTGCATCTGCGGCCAGCCAAGTTTTGACGCTAAAAGCCAACAACGCCCCCACTCCGCTCTCATCCCTTTCGAATGATTCACCACAACAGGAAACAAATGATGGAAAACACAGTGTTGAACTTGGCTTTGGTTGACATCTTTGACTGGCCACGCTCGTGCATCTGCCCCCAAGTCGGCCGTTAGCGAAGGGTCGAAAAAGATTTCTGCTAAACTGCAATAGGTGTTCTGGCCCCAATATTTTAGTATTGTCAAAGTGACCCCCGAAGTGATAGGTTACAGGGAAAGCACCGATTCCAATTTCTGACGTTGATAACCCTAGAAACACTCAAGAGACAGACCCCTGGTGTTTGGGCGCTCGATTCTCTTTAGAAGCGTGGCAGGGGGCCAGGCGTGGCTTTCTCACTCTCCTCACTTCTGATCATGCATAAAAAAAATAAAATATAAAATAAAAACATAAAACAGTCCCTGTATCTTGAGGTGTGTCGTTCACCCTGGTCGAACCCTCGCGCGGGTGTCTCTTTTTTGAGGGAAACCCCTTCAGGGAAACCACACATCCTCTTCTTTGGGGGGGGGTTCCCCAATTTAGAGATAATCCCGTGTGAGTCACAATCAAAACCCGGTACTAAGAAGGTCGACCCAGCAACACGAAAGGAATTAAGAAGGCGGCCGCAGCTGTTTATTGCTTGGGATTGTCCCTTCCAAGCCTTCATCTACCCGGGTTTTGATTGTGGCTCAACACTTGTTTGAGGGAAACCCCTTCAGGGAAACCACACACATTTTTTTGGTGGGGGTTCCCCAAGTCAGAGAAACAATCCCATGCGAGTCACAATCAAAACCCGGTACAAAAGTGGTCGACCCAGAATCATGTAACTAAAGAACTAAGGATGAGATCGTCCCTTACTAACCTACCCGGGTTTTGCTTGTGGCCCACATGTCCTTCTTCAGAACCCTTGACCTTCTCAGACCACTCGGGACGTGATCACGGACGCGATCGCGGGCTCCCCCACGGGCAGAGCCCAGCCGGATCTCCCGGGTCCCGGGCCTCGGGTAAAGCGGTCAACAAAATCCCCAGCGACGCCCCACGAAAAATTTCGAGCACAGGCCGAAAAGCACTGGTATCTACGGTGTTTTAGCAAGAGCGGCGGCTCAAATTTTACCAGATAGCCAGGTTGCGATCGCTTTTTTCAGTCGCTGTTGCTGGTTTTTGGGGTAAGTGGATGGACAAAAACAGCAACTGGCGATCCAGGTATGGTGTTTTTGCAATGGTGGCAGCTCAAAACCACATCCCGCAAAGCACCCCTCTATGGATTTCTATGGGGTTGACTGTTCTGGGGTCAACAGTAGACAGTAAGAACTGGAGGTGGATAGGGCATTGCCAGGCCGTAGTGAGAAAATCCACTGACCAAAAACAAAACGCATGAGGTGTCCTGGGCTTTGGGACCTTTCAAACAGACACCCCAAACCCTGCATCTTCCGCACCTTCGGCCCTTAGATCCTCTGAGCCTAAACCGGAGTGCGAGCAGAATGCTTCGAAGGCACCTCGGCTTGGAAAAAAATGGGAACTGCTGAAGTTTCCGATGGACATACACACCTACTGCAAGCGGGGAGAGGGGAATGAAGCTAAGCCATGAATACACACCCTGAAGGCGCGGAGGGCACTTGAGACAATCCAGGGTCTGGTTCTTTGATTCATCTTTTTCTCGAGCGACTGGTATAAGCCTTCGAGGAAGCATTGGTCGAGATTGGCTTGCGCTATCTTTGGCCATCTCTGGGCTACCGCCTCCTTTCGAGTCCAACATCGAATATGCCATTCGAGGCAAAGCTTTGGGAGCAGCAGATCCCCAGTGAAGCAACGCATTGCTCTTGAAAAAGGGGAGGCTGTTGTCTTCTACTCTTGTGATGCCGAGTTATGTCCAATTCTACTGCGGAGTCTCCACACCTCGACAACGGGAGCGGCTCTCACTATCCAGCCACTTCTAACCTGAGCTTGAATGTGAGCTTGGCTTGGGGGGGGGGACAGATCTCAATTCACTACTAACTCACTACTAACTCACCTGAGGCTGAATCTGAGTCCATCCAAATCGGCTCCGGGTGTAACCCAAATCCCGAGCACAGAGATCAGGTTCCGGGCATCGGCTGGGAGTAAGCATCGAAGGCCATGAAAGCATCCGCCTGGAAGCTTTGGTTCGTTCGCAACCGGATGCCTTCTGAGAGCTATGCGACCTGAAAACACGCCTTGTGACCTTCCTGGAAAAAAAAAAAAAACAAGTGTAGTTAGTAGTAGTGATCGATTCCCAATAAAACCAACACAGGAGAAATGCAACACATTCATTTCAGCAAATGGAAGTGACCCAACAAGACCGATCTTCCTTGGACCCTTTGAAGTATGTTTTACCACGAGGTGCTGTCCCCCAATCATCCTTCTGGGTTCAGCCAAGCTCCATGAACCGCCTGTTGAATTCCTTGGATTGCAGACGGCAATCTTGTCCAAAGCGGCCAAGGCGATTTTCAGGTAAGCACCGGATAGGTGGCGTTCTTTCTTGAAGCTTGGGATTGGTGATGCAAAGGGTTTTGATGGTTCAACAAGTGAATCCCCGTCTGCCGTCAACGGCCACGCCCTTTGCCTCCACCATCCCGAATCCCGAGACGATCCGGTTAGGCACCACAAGTGCCGTGGCACCAACGCATTTCGACCTCGAAGATAGGGGCCAAAGAAAAAAGTAAAGGCACCCTGCTCATTCTCCTTGAACTCTGCTTGGAACAATTGGTGAGAAGGGGCTATCCAGCACCCAGTTGAATCATAGTTAAACCCGGTATTAAAATGGTCCACCCAGGATCTACCCACGGTTTGATCGTGGCTCAGTTCATTGTGGGTGTTCTGTTCAACCTCAGTCCACATCGGTCAGGGCAATAGAGCGCCAGGACTGTCGGGGAATCTGCTCGGATTAGCCAAGTGGCAGGGTGAGGACACTGAAATTCCCAGTGGCCATGGGCAATTGGTTGAGGTTGAAGGGGAGGCAACGGTATTTGTTAAACTAGGGCCGGTTTTTTTCCTAGGGCCGGTTTTCCGCAGGGCTGGCAGCATCCGTTAAAGGGGAACCCTTCCAAGATGCAGGAAGACAAGGGCGCCACTGGGCAACTGGGCTCCTTGTACCTCACAAGGATGCGTCATGAAGGGTTCCCCTGGACGTCTTGCCAACACGACGGGAAACAACATTCACATCTATTTTGGGGGAGGGTCAGATCCACCAACAGCTCAGCCTTCCGCTTCCGGCCCTCCGGCCTTCCGTCACTTTTTGAGTCGTTGTGCAGGCAAAAGCATGTCTCCAGGTATGCAGTTTTGCACCAACCTGACTGCCCTTCCAGGCAACGCATGCAGGACTCCATCTTCCCTGGCACTGGAATCAGATCTTAGGAGCTGCCACAAAGCAGATATCCCAGACATGGAGCTTCTTTCACAAACAAGCATGCATCAAAGAAAGAAAGAAACAAACAAACAAACAAACAAATAATTGAAATCGAGCAGAGTTCAAGGCAGACCCGATTCCGGATGAACTTGTGATCAGCCAACAGGTGCCGCCTTCGGCAGGCATCCTGCGGGAAGAAGCTTTCCAATGCGGCGATCGGTGCCTGGTCCCTTCTCGGGCCAGAGCAACAAAAAACAAAAAACTAAAAGCAGGCTTGCACCATTCGCGCAAGTTTTTTTCAAAAAGGCGGATCGCAGCACTTGAACCTCGCTGTGTAACACCTTTCGGAGCAACTACTCAGGGCCAGCACCGGAAATCAAAACGCTCGGTTCGGGTCAAGTCGCCCTTGCAAATGAATCTGCCCAAAATGGGGGACCCAAAAATACGGGACCCAGAATTGCGGCTCCCTTGGCGTCCCGCTAAGATCCGGCTGAACGCCCGCTCTGAATCGTGGTAGATTTGAAGGTCGCCCTTAAACTACACTGGGTTTCCCGTGGAACGCTTTCCCTGGTTGAACAAGAAACAAAGCTGAAAACAGAGGGAACCGACTAGCCCCTCGGTCCGCATATGTTTGTATTTCTATCCGTTCCCAAAGTCAAAGGGCACAGCGAGGCGTTGCGTCACGATCCAGGTATGCATGATGTCCAAATTTTGGGCCAGCTCCAACGCTTTGCCCTTCAGGTGCGAGCCAATTGGGAACCCTACAACGCCACCTCCTCAGGTGGCTCTGCCCGCTCTGTAGTCCTCCTCGCCGCCATCGCATCGCCATGTGCGATGGCAACAGCAGCTGCCTCGTAGACGGGATTCGCAGACCTCGGCTCTGGAAGACCCGAAGGGAGTCTCAACCTGCCGCACGTTGCTGCTCAAAACATGGCACCCCAAATGGCAGCTTGGTAGATGGAAACAAAGACTAAAACCTGCGTAGCCCCAGCGTCTGAATTTTGAGCCACACGCAAGTCTCTCCTCACCTGCAAGCTATCACACGCATTAGAGACAGAGAATTTGCTACCTGTGCAGCAGCATGAGAGGAGGAAGGGGATGGGGAGGGTTCTAACCCTCGTCGCACTTGCAGTTGCACTCATAGAACTTTGTCCCTGGCAATCCTTTCGCTTACATTCGTTTGCGTCTCCCTGCTCGCTGTCTTCATTTTGGCGAATATCCACGGATTGCTGATCACTGCCTTGCTGAGCTGATCTTTTGGCAGCCTTGCACATCCTCCTGGACCTCGATCAGAAAAACAAATGGCACAGCTGCGCTGACTTTGCCAGCCATGTCGTAAGCGTCTCTATGTTTTCGTTGCGTGCTTCAAGCTCAGTGCAAAGAGCTGCCGTGGTCGTGCTGGCTGTGGCTCCAAAAAGTGCTACCAAAATGGCACCTTGGCAAATGGAACCAAAGACTCACAACCGCGTACCCCCAGCTCTTTAACTTTGAGCCATACCCTGGCAGACACAGCTGCCACTGGCAAGGCCTCAGCATTTGCCTTCCAGTCAATTCTGACCCGAGGGAAGGCATGCGCTTGGAGGTCTGAGCCCTTGCGGCTTTCAACTTCCATGTTCACTGGATGCAGTGGTCAACTCTAGTGCCGCTCAAAAAATTGCCCCCCAAAAAAGGAGCGTGCTCTTCTGCAGCCATGTGGTCTTTACCAATGAATTTGACATGCAAGGTCCCAAACCCTGAGAAACATGGGACATTCTGAAGGATCCATTGCACGATTTTTAACGGCCTACTTTAGACTTCCCCACGCCTGCCATCAACGCCTACTCTGGCTTTTCGCCCAGGGTCGCTAACGCGGCCGATATGTTGCTTAACTAGAATGGCCAGTTCCTTGTTTCGCCTAGTTGTCTTGTTCTTCTCTCCCGTGTCGACATATCTGCCTGCCCGCCTGACTGCTGCAAACCCTAAGCCCCACTCTCTCTCTCTCTCGGCAACCAGGGCGCCCTTTGAAAAGGTGGAAGTTGAGCCTTTTCTTTGTAAGAGGGTTGAATGCTGCACCTGTTGATCCTGCTACAAGAGTTGTTTTAACGGAGGGAAGATGAGAGAGGGAGGGAGGGGAAAAGGGAGAGAGCGAGAGACAGAAAGCGAGAGACAGAAAGCGAGAGACAGAAAGCGAGAGAGAGAGAGAGAGAGAGAGTGAGAGAGGCCTTCCATTTGGATTCAAGCCCCCCAGCTAGGCAACGAAAAGACCTGAAGACTCGTCTGTTCTTTGGGCGCCTTTTCAAAAACGTAAAGAGAGTGAGAGCTCCGAGTGACAGCAGGTAGGAGCTCAGCATGTTGTGCTTCTGGAGCTCCTTGAGGCAATCATCCCAGGTATCCGCTTGGTCGTCTTCCGCCTGAGAAATCAACAGGTCTTGAGACGTCCGATGTGGGGTTTGGTTTGTGCCGAATAGAGGCTTGATGTTCATACCACTTGCTCGGCTTACGGATTGACTCATACTTGCCCAGTTTTCCACGAGAGCAACATACATTCGCACACTTGGTGGTGTCTTGTTGTTTCCGGCTTCTTGTCCTCAAGCCCCTTCACTCCAATCTCTGTTCCCCCCCGCCTGCTTCTTGCAGGAGCAGCAGTCCTTCATCGCGAAGACCACCGGCGACAAGAAGGGCTTCAGCAGCAAGCGGTAGCTCCAAACGATGACGTAGTAGGTGACAAACACCACGAAGATGCAGAAGATCAGCCAACAGCCCTGCAAATTCCGGTTCCCGGAATGACAAATTGTTGATGGGTTTAAGCAACTTGTCTTGTACTTCGTGTGTTCTTCCCGAAAGCCTAAACTGCCAAAGCCAACTGCCCCTAGGTGCCGCTCAGAGGAGGCAGTCGCGGGAATATCTGGCGTTGGCATACCTGTTGCGTTCCAGGAAAGTTTGTGAAATCACCCAAACTGAAAACTCGATTACTTAGGCTCGGGTGCACTGCGGAGCGCACCTTTTCCTTGAGCCAAAATACAAGTAGCGTATTGGGTCTTTATACCTATACACATCATGACTCCTCCTTGCTGGAAGAGCGTCTCTGTACACGCTCGCACAGCAATCCGGTAGCGGAGTCTGGCCAGGGACCTTAGCTCCCTAAGAGCTTGAGTTGTCCCTTACTGCGTTGATCCAGGAAAACATAACCACATCTCTTCATGGTTTCTCTCATCTGTACACCTGGTATGCTCTTTGTTAGAGCGTCGGCTCTATTGGCCTTTCCAGGGACATGCTCTACCCTAAGGTGGTCCATGCTCACCCGCTCCTGCAACCACAAAAATCTGGTCTGAATGTGGCGGGCCTTTCCCAGGCCTGCTCTATGTACAGTACCTTTTGCAAGACTCACTGAACCTCCCTTGACCAAGGCGTAGTACTCGGACTCGCCGGTCGAGAGAGCAATAGTTGACTGCACATTGCTACTGTGCTTCAGCACATGCAATCCACACAGCGCAACCATCCCTGTAGTGGACCTCCTCGTCATAGCATCTCCTGCATGATCAGAGTCCACTTGGATCCGGAGCTTGTTCGGGCTTGCCTGCCTGGCAACCGATCTTAAGAGACCGTCCTCTGTGGCCCAAAGGCTACACAAGAGCCTCATCGCCTCCAAGGGTGGCGTTGACGAAAACATGAGGGATTCTCTCCTCAGGGCTCTTCCGGGCCTTGATTTCCCGGCCAATCTCGACGGATCTCTATCCAACGGGTGGATATTGGGCCTCTCCCGTTGGTATCTCGAAGACACTCCTCGAGTGGTGCCAGCTCCAGTTGGCGTGCCTCCCTGACACGATCTGGTGGTAGAAAGCCACCAGTACTGCTCGGCGTCCTCCAGCGTCACAAAGCATTCCTCACGAACTGGACCTGCACTCAATTGTCCGTTCTCCACCAGGTAGTCCCTCAAGGCTCTCAGCACCGCCCGCACTAGCGCTGTCCTCCGATCAGGTGGACGATTGTCATCCAGCCTGTCTCCCATCGGTCCGTAGCGACCATGGCCCATCTACACATTGGGCCTCGGACTGTGTACACATCCGGTCTTCGGAAAGGTCTCGGACCTCCATGGTGCCTCATGCAGAAAGAATCTGCCAGCCTCGACTTGCTTCCTGTAGAAGCTACAGGCAGTATGTGTGCTACAGCTTTGTCCATCTTCTCTCTTCTCTTGTCCGCACTCACCCTATATTTGTTGATGTTCTGCAGTTGAGAAAACTGATCACAGGGCGGACTCCCTGTGAGCAATGTTGGCTCGACCTCGTCCACGTACTTGTCGAGCTCTGGGACGTCTTCTTCCCTACTGAGGTCCCAGTAGGTTCCGTCCGGCTTCTGCTCCTCCAGGTCTACCGCGAAACCTGGCCTCAAGCCATAGTGCTCGGCTTGGGCTGTGAACGTCTTTGGGCTGTGATGTCTACTGCTCCCATCTCCACGCAAAGCTTGGTAACCTGCTCCAAGTCCACTGCATTGATTTCCATCTCCTGGGCTGCGAAAGCACTCTCAATCTTCTTCCAACCATTGACCGCAACATGCCTTTCAATCGACTCAGCTCAAGTCCTCCCACGTCTGGGGGCTTGTCCGGAGCGTTTGAAACATCGGCAGCAACTGCCGCTTCGGTCTCGGTCCTAAGTTCTTCCAACTGTACTTCCGGCTCTCGCTTCTCGCCCTGCTTCGGCTGCATCTTCAGCTTGGGTCCTGCAGCGCGCCTGGCCTCTTGACCTGTGTAGTCGGCTTAGCCTTGCTCTTCGGGCTGCTGGATGCTGAAGGTTCTGCTGCAGCTCTCTGAAGCTCTGCCCTTTTCACTAGGTCCTCTTCGTACTCCATCACCTGTCCAGGAGCATGACCTGCTCCTGCCCGCCTCAGCGGCCGGCGCTCCCATAGCCTCTTGGGCTGGGAGATCTCTCCACTACTGTCTCCTTTGTGGATTCCTCTCGTTTCCTCTTGCGTTCTTCTACCCGACGTCGTCCTTGCTCATCGCCCATCAATTCGGGCTCTGCATGCCTCCGTGTGCGGAAGCTGCGTGGATTCTCCCAGTAACAGACAGGCACAGCCTGGGCATCCATCTGTAGGTTTGTACTTGTCCACGTCGACCTTCCGGATGTAGATCCGCTGCTGCGGTGGTGCCATGACTGGCATGATCTGAGGTGGTACCTCAACCCAGTCCTCACTGACCAGTAAATTTTCAACTTTGCCACCCCTGAGGGTTCCACTGCCATCCTCTGGAATACGACAAATTATGTACCTCGTTTAACTTTCTTCTGGTGTCACAACCGCAATGTGCCTGTTCTCCCGTGGTGACCTATATACCGGCCTTCCTTCAACGGCCTAGCGCCCTCACCTACCCAGAGAGGCTAAAAGACTCCAATTTTCGCCTTCGCAAAAGAGACTCTAATGTAAATTGGGCTGTTTTGAATGTTCTCATGATTGTTGGTTTCGTGATTTGTGACCGCGGGCGGGCCCCATTTGCATCGCGATGTCCCATAGAAAAGCAGTTCAGGGCAGCTTTGACCTGGGCATGCGCCGGCTTCAAAGTGTGATTGCATGGCTCAAGGCGCATTGGGTAAAAAGTTCGCAGCAACTCAAGACACATCCAGGTTAGTTGGCTAATTTGCCGTGTCTACAGAGTGTGTGGCTGCGCAAACAGTCAATGTGTGCCAAGGGTTTGGGAACACATAACTGACCGTGTTCGCTTGCGCAGCGAGCGCAGGGGCCCAAAACGAGAAGGGGAAACCCTAAGTGTTCGAATTTTGTTTTGTCGCGCCGTGCCCAAGAAGACGTCAGTCCTTGTCACAGGGCCATTGCAGGAAAAGGCTTTCAGGAACGGATCTACAAGCCCCTAATATATGACGCATCTTTGTTTGCGCTTGTGGGACGCATAATGCTAGGGAACACTATTGACAATCCTGGACATTCAGTTGATCACGCTACTGGGTGGCGATTCATCTCTTGGCCTTGAAAAAGTGGTTGCATGGCCGCAAAACGCGAAATCCTGGTTTGGCAGCCAACTGGTGATTTCACGGCCAAAAGAAATCCTGACAGAACTCCACGCAGTCTTTCAGCCGGTGGTCAATTCAGACCTGCAAGGGCCTGCGGCGAATGTCCTGGACAGACGCAAACGATTTTTAGGGGCTCTCGCGCCGCCGTTTCGCGTTCCGGAACGATGTTCTTGGCAAGATTGCCTGCAGTCAATGGAGCCACGTCCCTCCACTAAAACCTGGAAAAGAAGCCAAACATAAAGAAAGCCGAGGTGCTCCTGGAAATCAATTTCCACTTCTTCGGGATGCCCGCAAGCACGCCCTTATAGTCATCAGTGGCTTGCAGCGCTTGTCCCAGGCGCGCTTCACAAATTGCTAGCGGCAAGTTCACGTGGCTCTTGCGCCTCAAGCTCTCAAGTTTCAGGGGCCATCTCTGGGACTGTGGTTGGCCGATTTCGGGCGTGAACTTATGAAATTTCAGGACTGGCGACCCCCGATTCTGTTTTTCGGCTTTTCGTTTTTTGTTTTTCTTTCTCGGGCGGGGGGCGCGTGAACTTGCGTGAACTTGCGTGGAAAAGGCTCTAAACTATGGTGTTTTGGCGTGAACTTGCGTGAACTTTCGTGAACCGTGGCATTCGCACTCTCCGATTTACGGATATTCGCGGAATTTCGTGGCCATTTCTGCTCGTGCCCATGGTTTCACGGCCGTTTCGCGGCCATTTGCTAAAAACGGCGCACGACCCCCAAAAGACGTTCGTGCGCGTGTCCAAGTAAACCCTTAATAAAGCCTTCCTCTCCTACACATTCGTTCGACCCGAATTTGCGCAAATGCTTCAACGCGACGAAGACCTGTCCACGCATCCGTGAGGGGTTTGGAGTTGAAACTTTGTGAATTAAACTTGTCCAGCGTGCGAACCCTTGAAAACTTCAAATGGCCGTGAAACCCATTTCTAGAGGTGAATGATTGCCGAGTCGTGAGCAAATGAATAACCGGGAATTGCGTAGCAATCCCTCGTATTGAGCTGCGCCTTTTCGCAGAGAGTGGAAGGCTATTAGAAAAGCGCCGACGGCCTGAGCGCTATCCAAGAAAACAATGCGAGAGTTGATGGCTTTTGGCTTTAGCGTCAATAATCAAAGAACCTAAGCCTTTACGAGTACCTTGATGATAGTGGGAAAAGATGAAAGCATTGAGGACAATGGCTGGGAAAAATACAAAAAACATCAAAAGGGTCCATGGTGCCGAAGTGCCCCCCAAAGGTTGCGCCACTTTCGGGCCCTTACAAGCTAAAGGCAAATGAGGCGGGCAAGTTGCTTTAGAAATGTTGTCCGTGCGCCACTCTTTCTTAGGATTGTGTCGATTGACCCCAAGGCTTGCTTTTTCGCAGACACAAGCCAGCAGGGCAGGTGTGCAAGCTAACCTCCCTCGACCCCTCTCTCCCCCCCTCTCCGTTGGCTGCCAAGGTTGCAGTTTAAAGGTATACTTGCGTTGCTCGCTTGCGCTCACAGCTTTGCACTCATGCAACTGAACTCGGCGCGCCCTATACGACACTGGGTTCTCTACACGGATAGATCCAGCTTGACAAGCGTTTGGCCTTGGAAGTTGCATGACGTCATCCGGCGTCGGCGCAGCCGATTGCGGCTTAAATTGTCATTGCGCTGCTATTTTTTTGGAACCCAGCTGGCCCATCCATTACGCCCAGTCGCCGAATAACGACCCTTTGGCGCAATCTGCAGGATCCCAAGAGTTTGCTACCCGACCGGCTCAA